AAGGTTCCTTGCGCGTGCTCCTCGGCTCATAAAGCCATCGTCGTGCGTCATCGATACTGAGCTATTTTGCGATTCATGCTTCTGAAAGATGACAGCCGTACGTAGGAAGATATACGAAAAGAGAAAGAGAGAGAAAAGAGGACAAAAACACCGCTGGACTAGCCACAATTTACTGAAGGCCTATTCCTTTCACAGCCATTAGTTTCATATCGCAGAACGAATGGGTGTGGAAGAACAATAGGTGTTTTCAGATAAGTTTGGCCGACCATGCCAGGTGACAATTTGTAATTTTCACGAAAACAAAATATTTTTTTTTTTTTAGACTCAATGCCCATCAGAACAAAACCAAAATCTGTTTTGCAAAAAAAATTTTGTCCTCGCGGAAAAAAAAAAAAAAATTGGAAGCACATTTTCAGTACGTAACGCTTTCCGCGAATGGCGCTTTGTTGGCACTTGAATCACCTCTCTCCCCCCCCCAAAAAAAAAAAACAACAACAGAAAACAAAAAAAAGAAATTTGTTGTGGTTGCAGGTTTAGAAATATTTCCTGTAAAACTACCTACTTATGAGGAGGGTTGACTCGAGATATTTAGTATTAAGTACCGACGTTGTTAATTTCTAGAAATAAATCGCAAACATGGCCACATTCCGCAAAAATACTTACATTTTATTGATTTGTTTCTCTCCATCTATAAATTCCAGAACTTTCAAGCTTTGACAGCCTGTTGTCCTGTGTTTTGTTAATATCGGCGCTAAATATGGTTGTCCTCGGCAGCGACATAGAATTATGAGAAACGCTCAAATGGGGACATTTTAATAATTACGAGTTATTTTGAAACTCAATTAAAAAAAAAAGTCCATCTTCGATTTTTTAAAGCTCTCATACATTAAGGCGAATGATAGGTACTAATACCCCATTCGCACGGTCAACATAAAGGTACCTTTAACGTAGGTCCCTTTGCTATCGGCGAATCAGCCCGTGCTCTTGGGCCACGATCACACGCCACGCGCGGCAGATCATTAATTGATTGGCCGCAGAGAATAAAGGTCCCTTAGCTAAAGGTACCTTTACGGTCGTGTGAATGGAATATAAGAGAATCTGCAAAAATATGTTGCATTTTTTGTGTATTTGATGCTATGAAGCTAGATATATGACCAAATTTAGGCTACCGCAGCACCGTCAGCAGCGTAGTCTGATAACCGGGGCATGACTACTTCCGTCCGCCATTTTGTGGCTCTGACTCACAGGAACTCCTATGCGATTTCTCAGGAATAAACAAGACATAGAAGTAACGCCATTTTGTGTTATCGTGGAATCCGCTAGTTCTAGCGGGCAACAAGCTCCGCCCATTGGCCAAACTCTCTCAGTATCAACGGCTCTGGTTAGTGTATCCCCGAGACGCCCCAAGCGGCCAACGAGCTGAAACTTGACGAGAATATGGAGCAAAGCGGTTTTCGCGTCGCCATGTGCTAGCGTAGCGCTTGTTGCAAGACGCCAAAAGGCGCGCTGATGGCGAAGCTGATGCGTCTCGCCATGTCATCGCAGGAAACGCGGTGGATTTTATAAAATACATCCGATTTATTTTATCCAAATCAACGTGGTTCAGATCACTTTCTTCATAATGTTTTGTCGCTAAATGTTGTATTTACGAATGACAGATGGTTTCTTTTCAGGGTACATAGCTGCCGATGAAAACAGTGTGTAGAGGGATATTTACTTTAAAACCAATTGTTTCGTAAAACACGATATAACTGAGGATTCTTTGCTCTTGATGTAAACTACGTAATATGTTTTGCTAGAAAAAAACAGCTTTTTTTTCAGTGAGTGAGCAAACTTTATTTTTTCGCAACGCGTCAATAAATCGAGACGTGCCGTTTTTGTGTTTATACTGTAGACACCTGTGCAAGCGATGCTGTTATTGTGTCTCAGTCTTCGGGCATACATAGCAGAAACGAACATAAATAAGGAAAGAACGGGTTGACATCCAGACTCACCAAGCACTTGAACGTAATGTTATATGGCACGGTGCGGTTTTCCTTCAAAAACTTGCAAAGAAACACTAGTTTTCCTGCCTTCTCAGCACCCAAGTTTGTTTCTGAGTTTGCAGTTCACTAATTCAAACGCCGAGAATATTCTCTCAATATCAGCCATCTATGCAACGTTTGTAAAAAGTTAAGTAACAATGTGGAGAACCATTGTTGCGGACTCTCCAAGAGCACTGCTGTGAAACCTTAAAGGAGCTGTGCAACAATTTCAGTGCTTTACTTAAATAATTTTAAGTAAAGCACTCCCGCCTCCTTGTACTTCCTTCCAGCAAAGCGGTTGTTTCTGAAGTATTTCACCAGTTGTACAATTGGTTCTCTCACAGTTTTCAGTTTGAAGTGTTTTGACAGCGAGTTAAAATGTCCGCGGAGCAGCCGTACGTGAGGATTCTCGTAGAAGACTCTCCCTGTAAATTTTCCTCATTTTAGCCACGTTGTACGTCAGAAAGCTTCGTACATCGCATTTGCTCTCTTTTTCACATTGTGTTATTGCATTTATTGCGAGCTCACTGAGGGTACTCCGAAATATATATGCGAGTGCACGGAGGTGTCAACAGTGTCAACAACAAACATCTGTCCAGTTTCATTCGTTACAGTGAAATAGATTATTGGTTCGTTTTGTACGTTAAATCACCCGTCCGTGCTTATGGCCACAGCCTCGTTGCGCAACTGGAGACCGGCTTTCGGTTTTTCTTCGGCGTATACTTCCACTAGCAAGGCGTTTCCTACCAAGTGCCGGGAGGGAAGATTGTGCCCGGGACGCAGCTTGTTCGCGAGTGCAGCAGACTCCGGGTGCTCAACCGCTCGAAAGGACATGTTTGTGACTTAAACAAATCTCACTACTTGCTCGTTTAAACTACGTTTTGAAGCTGACAGACCTTCTGAACAATGAACAAATCCGAAATTTTCTGCGATGCTTGGTTTTAATTGCAGGCCGGCGTGCGTCCAGCTTGCTCCCTGCTGTCTGAACGTAACTATGTCCTTTACGGACAAAAAAAAAAATAAAAGTAAAAGAAATACAAAGATGCAGTATTTTCGGTTCTAGAAGTCAATTTTAGAATAATGACATACTTAAGGGCTCACCTGGCGTTGTCGTGTCGACTTGAAGTGCATCCAATGAGGCATCCGACTAGGAACCATTCTCTGCGTTCTGTATACCGCATTGCTCATGCTTCCGAGCAGCAGGACATTCAGCCGAGTGTTTCTGCAACCGGTCTAGCAGACCATGTCTTTCCTTTCCACAATTTCTACAAGTCGCTCTTTCACTTTCCTCGTTTTGCACAGAAAGCGTTTTTGCACGGCAGACCGCTTACACCCTGACATTCTGCGTTATTAAACTTAGAGAGGTCAGTTCCCGACGCGTCGATCACGAGATTGTAGCGAAACAGCACTGAACTATACGTCGTTTCAGCTTAAGTTCAGACGCGGCTGATACTACGAGCTAATAGGACTAATCAAGTAGCTTCAAAAGCGCAAGTCACTATAGTGCTTTTCTGTTTATGATTGATTATGTGATGATAGAACACGCAACATGACGAACACCATAATGGCGAGCTCTCGAAGCTGTCTCCTTGGTCCCATCAGCTCGTATAGCGTCGGCTGCGAACTGGACTTGAGATGAAACAAAGTATAGTGAAAGACGACACCACTGAGAATGCCCCTTTTTTTCTTCTGCATTTTTTTAAACAATTTCAACCGAGTTGGTTTTGTGCATGCACACATTACCACTGCGGCCTTTATTCGTGAGGCCGGCTTCGAGAGAAAACAAAGCTTTTATGGTTCGACAAAAGAAAGTGTTACTAACGTTACAACCTTGGGTAAACAGAAACCAAGATAAAGGACGAAGACGTCCTGTCTTCCTTGTTTTTGTGGACTCTTTGTTCTTGTAATTCTCTGTCGGCGGAGCATAGAAGAATGGATTTTGAACTAGAGCGCGGCGGTAGCCCCACGGCAACGCTTTCTTCGCTCGTTGCTTTTGTCTAACAATGGGCTGGGCTGCGGTATGGTAGGAAGGAGGCGCGGCAACAGTGCGTCGCGCCTAGTCGCGCCGTCGCGGCAACTTGTCTGCCGGGATGTTATTTCATATACTCACAGTGCACGCGTGCGGGCACGCGTAATTCTATTGTTTTTTTTTTCATTCCCGTTCTCTTTAGCTTGCTACTGGGCAGCACGCTCCTCACGAAGTCGAAAGAATACGTAGGTCGCTGTTTTTGTTCGCTCTTGCCTCACAGGAGCACCGCTTTTTGCTTGCAACTCACATATCAAGCTTCGTTACATAATACACGTTTAATTCTGATTAAAAAAATAATATCAGTCTTTATGGTAAAAGCGCAGAAACTTAAAATACGATTTGAATCATCTTGATTTTTTTTTTCTTTCTACCCTGCCGTCAAGACTCCACGGTGCGTAAACGCGGCGTCGATGTTCGACGACTTCGCCGTGAGGTGTCCTAGTTGTCGCTGTGACTATTCTGGATTTACACGGGACTGCTCATTGTTAATTTCAGTTCACTCGACATGTCTGACAATACGCATTGCAACTGAATGCAAATAAAAAAAACACTCTATACACATATGACAGGTGGTTTGTTTGTGTTACGCATGTTCAACCCGTTATGTTTAGTTCTTTGGCTTCTTTCGTTTTCCAATAGCTTCGGGTTTTGAGTCGGGCGCACTATGGGTGGTCTGATTCTCGTCGTTGGGTGACAAAGATACGTGTCGGGACCAGACATTAGCTTATAGTATCTGATTTGACCCCCGCGTCATTTTTCATTTGGTATATTCACAACATTTTTGCCGTAAAAATTTTTTTTCTCTATACAGAGAGTTCTATTCTAATTACAGCATTTCTAAAGTGATTCATAATCAAAACCTAAACGTAAAACGTATGGCAATAAAGTGAAGGCAGCTCTAATGTGTTGAGGCACTCGGAAAATAAATGAAGTGGACCAGCTTCTGTAACCATAGAATATTATTGTCGCTTTCACAATACATCATATGAGTAATGCCATCTGCTGACGTGTCCATGAACCACATTAGAGTTTGGCGACGAGAAGGACCATAATCGAATTTCTCGTTACAAGCTGTACATGTTGCCATTTGGAACCGAGCCCGAGTTCATTAAGGTGCAAATGATAGCGGTGACATTAGAGGATGTCGTTCGATAACTTGGACGACGCGGTGATGCAGGTCGCCGTCGTCTCCCGCTCCGTACGCTCGGTATCGTCGCCGATCCTAGTCCTCGTCGACCCGGAGCCGGTCATGGCCTTCGGGCAGCAGAAGATGATCTTCCGGAAGTTCTTCCTGAAGTTCTCCGAGAGGAACGCGTACAGGAAAGGATTCACACACGAGTTGGTGTACGCCAGGACCTGAGACGCTATCTGTATCACTATCCTCAAAGGGTTCATCGGCTGGCCGTATAGGTCCACGCTCTTCAGCACAAGCACCACTTGGACAGGGCACCAGCAGACGGCGAACACCACCACAACCACCACGACCAGTCGCGTCACCCTCCGCTTGGATCGCACGCTCTCCGCGCTGACTCTTCCTCCCGGTGTCACACCGAACCAGAGCCTCTTCAGCATCAGGACATACAGAATGAAGACCAAGGCGAGGGGAACAAGGAAAGATGTCATGAAGAAGCATAGCTGGAAGGCCACTATGCTGTAGCCCATGTGTGCCAAAAAAGTGCAATAGGCGAAGGTGTCGTCAACGATGACCATCCCGTGGGAGAAGAGCACAGGGAGGCAAGCCAACAGGATGACGACCCACATCAGAAGGATGGCAAGGTAGGCGTTGCGTTCCGTCCTGATGAACATCGACCTTATCGGATGAACTACGGCGAGGAACCGGTCGAAGGACATAAGCACTAGGGTGTAGATACTGGCGTAAGCACACACGATGACTAGATACTGCACGATTCGACACCACACGTCACCAAATGGCCAGTAGTTGAGGGTGTAGTCCCACCCGGTGAAGGGGACGCAGAAGACGATAAAGAGCAGGTCAGCCATTGCCAGGTTGATGATGAGGATGTTGGTCGTAGATCGCATCTGTGGGTTGCAGAGGACCACCAGGACCACCAGGGCGTTGCCGAAGAATCCCACAACGGCGATGGCCCCGAATAGGATAGGGACGACAATAGCGAGGATTTCTTCGAGGGCTGTGTTGCTCGCATAGTACTCCGCATAGTCCTCTTCGTGATTCAGAAACGGTGCTCCAGATGTGTTTGTCTTGCAGGGAGTACTGCCGTTGCAGAAACCCGAGAGAAGGGTGTGCGTGGCCTGTGTCAGTATTGTCATGGAGGTCGTCAGTATCTCTTCTTGTGTTGCGTCTTGAGCGTGGAACTGCGCTGTTGTGACAGGCGCTCTATTGCCTTGTTCGGTTGACAGCGTGGAGTCTTCTGCCATCTTAGGTTCTGTGGTCATTCACTTGAAGCCGCTTCTGATGACTTGATCAGCAGGTCAAGGGCAGCCCTAAAAAAAAAAAAAAAAAAAACGGCGAGAGCATGATGTTTCCAATGTCAGCTCTTGATTTGTACTGCGATTATTTGTATAAAGTTCAAATTGATTATTTAGTACCTCCATGACGCAGCCATGACTTTCAAATGTTGGGCATTTGTGAAGATCCTTGTACAATGTTAATTTTTGACTGGATATTTCTGTAAGTTTAGCAAGACCTTCAGAAATATATGTCGAGTAAGGTTGCATTGAAGTCATGGTTTGAACATCTTTTGTATTTTCTGAGGATAATTTCAAATTTGTGAAATTGGCAGATCGGGGCAGCCCTTGTTTGAGTGTTGCCGGCAAGGATTCTAAGTACATTTGACCATGCAGGACTGTAGACGCTCGCATTTTCATTTTGTTGAAAACAAAGTTTGTAATTTTCGAACTTCTCATATGTCACAATTTTTTAGTTAGCACCCTATTGGGAACGCTTTTACAGACCTAGTTTAGTAAGTAAACACTTCTAAATAACAATAATGCGTGGGGCTTGAAATACTCCCTGCGACGAGGTCTGCCATTATATATGCCGAGTACGTTCACAACAATCCCGCGTCGATATGGCGGTAAACTCATTGGTTTGGAAGAAGCATAAAAATCCAGCAGTGATCAAGAATACTTTTGAAAACACAATAACGTATTTTTTTTCTGTCTTCTGAAAACACAATAACAATAAGCATTCTTCTGAAAAGACAATAACGTATTTTTTTTTCTGTCTACAGGAACAAACATGTCAATATAGCATTCAGCGGAGTACTATGCGAGCAATACAGCCATCGAAGAAGTCCTCGCCATTGTCGTCTCGTACCACAAAGTATTCGCGTCTCCAGCTCGTTACTCGCCGTCCAGCGGCGGAAAAGGGAAGCGCTCTAGTGAGGGTCTTCCGATTCTCCTGCTCAGCGGGCACAGCGGAACTCCTCGGGATCATGGCTCGCGAAATGTAACTTCCTAATGCAAACAACACTCTTCATTGTCCCAATGTAGCGCTGCAGCCGGGATGGGAATGTACCTTATTACAGAGTTTTAGTGTTGCGTGTTGAAGCAAACGCAAGCGCTGTGCGTTTGCATTAGAGTTGCGTGCTCCACGCTGTGCGTGCGCGTCGTCGCCAAGCTCCAATCCAAGACCGTATTTTTGTGCACGCGCAGTGTAGAAAACGCAACACAAACACACAGAGCTTGCTTTCGCTCGTATACACAATACTAAAACTCAGTACTGCTTCACCGGTTTCCAACGCCAACGAAACGTGCTGCTGTGAACAGACAGGCAAGCGGGTAAGCGTTCCTTCGAACTGGAAAGGCTGAAATTAGGAAAAAGACGGCGCGTAAAAATTAAAGAAACAAATTGTTCTAAAAATAATAGTAACTAAAAAAAGAATTCGTTTATTTATTTAATATTCTTATTATTTTTTTTTTTTCAGAGGGGGGGGGGGGGGGGGGGCGAATTTTGTGCGGAAGGACTGACGGCGCCCTTGGAAGTTTTTGCCGATTGCCAAAAGTCTCGATTTTGGTAGTTTTACCCATTGCAGTTTGTGTATTTTTATATGGATTTCTCAAATTGGCTATAGAATGTTTTCATTGATTTTAGACTATTTTTTTATAACTTGTTAATTATGAAGTCTGCAAATGACACCATGCAGTGACGATAAGCTGCACATTTTTGAGTGCCATACTTGTTCGCGCGTTTGAAATTAGATCATAAGCAACAAAAAATATTAGAGCTTGAGAAACTACGTATTAAAATATCATAATTTCATTATTATTATTATTATTATTATTATTATTATTAACACAAATTGCGGCACTGCAGGCTCCCAATAAACGCCACGATCGCAAAAATACGCCATGTAACCACAGTCTTTCCAGGAACGTCTCATTTTGTTTTCTTTTTAGCATATACAACTAAAAAATCGTCATCAAGATAGACAAACAGTCAAAGCTGGATGTAATATAAATTCCTATGCGTTAGCGTTACTTTAAAAAACACACACGCACTGTCTGACTCCGATTTCGTTTTTGGGTTTCGTCGTGAGAAGAGCGTTTCTTAATTTAAACGTTTTATGAACATATTCACTCATCATCCATGGCGATATTTTGTAAAGTTCAGATTGATTCCGTTATTCTTGTGCTTGGGAATAACGCTAAAGCAATCATTCATATAAATACCTCCAAACCCATTAAAAGGCCCGCAGTTCATTGTTTCACATGGCAATTATCCGAGCGAAAAAAGGTAGCAGGAACACACACACAAATATCAGCACGGATGTTTTTCAACAAATGCAATATTCTATGTCACCACTAAGGGGTATAAAATACCTTGTCTCTAAAGGGACACTGGACTCGAAAATATCTTGAACTGCCTGGATCGGAGACGTACGCCACAAAATGAATTTTCCGCGAACAACGTTAGTTGAATAATTATGCTGTGAGACACATCTTAATTTATTAAAGAAGCCAAAATTAGCACCTATACCGAGATATTAAATTAAAAAAAAGAGGCTAGTTTCGGTTTTGTTTCAGTATTAAAACGTTCCTCCTGGCATAAATATTACGCTAAACACCGTTTCTTTCTTCAGAATAAGAAGGTAACCCGTGCTTATAACACCCTAGTTTCCTCGTATAAGCAGGAATAATTTGTGTCGCTCAGGTGAAGCCAGCACACTAGACAGGCTCAGCAACGGGTATACCGGCACGCGTCTTCGACCCTCACTAAAACCGCCATTTTAGAAATCGAGTGGCGCCACCTATAGTGAACTGGAATCGCAAATAGAGTTAAAAAACACACACACAAAAAAATTACTTTTTACTTGACTAGAAATGTAGTGTTCGTGTTTTTTTTTTGTTTTTTTTCGAAATTAAACGAATGAAACATAGTTTTTAAAGTTTAATCTAAGGCGTTGCTACAATCTACTTATAAATATAAAAATTGCACCAGTGGGGCCTGCTACCGTTTTCCAGGAATTCTATTAATCTGTTTTTATAATCTAATCGTCAACCCAAGCACGTAGATGTAATATTGAATTATGTCTTTAGATAAAATATTACTTATCCAGTTATTTGTACATTATTAATTGGAATTGTGGGAGAAACTTGTCTTATTATAACAAGATTAACTAAACGGTATTTAATCATCATATATTTTGCGTCTGACAATGGATTAAACCTGTACGCCTAATTTATAGAACCGGGGTACCAACCGATTTATTTTTTCTGGAACTTTAAGGATGAAGTTCTTTTTTTGTTCTAATGCTTATGAAGATAGATTATGACGACAATTTTGTTATGTACCATAGATTCAGTATTATATAGAACAAAATCAAACAATCCTCGGGAGGTTCTTCGGCGCTAGAATTTGCGCTACCTGCTCTGCGTGATTTACGACTAAAGTGCTGCTGAGACGAATAATTTATTTACAGCGGCGCGGTTAGGCCCGCAGTTTTGCACCCTGTCAGTAAAATCGTTCCTTTTCGTATTGTAGTTTACTTTTAATTCCCTAGGGAAACTAGTATAGTTAGACATCCCCTTCGAAGATTTCTCGCACGTGTAAAGCACAAAAGAAAAAAAAAAAACTACACACACAAAAACCTCTCCTACACGAAATTTCACTTTAGGGAATGCAGATGACACGACTGCTTTCCCCCTTTTACGCACTTCTGTGAAAATAAACATAAGAATAAAAATGTACGCGAAAAAAATTGCGTGGCTTGGGTAGCGCCACAAGGTCCGAAAGTAAGGCCAGACTAGTTTGAAAACTATGGAATGAACAAGCACATGATATCTGAAATACGGCTGGGTACGAAGCGGAGGCTGGGAGAAATGCATGATAAACGTAAAGCAGACGGCATACAAGTTGGGCGTTCCACCTCGCATGCTTTGAAAGCGCTCCCGCTAGCCACGATGAATATTCAGATTGCCGCACCGGCGTCTCGTTGGCGGTGAACCGCGAAAGTGACTTCATATGGAACTCCAATTTTTTTTAGTAGTTAGCGGATGAAATACTAGTTTTAATCCTGCCATACTTTTAAGTCATAGTAGACAAAGTTTGTAAGCCTATAAAAAAACAAACGATAATAATAAAAGTGTGGTTATCTGGTGCTGTAGGCTATTACAATATAAGTCTATCATTACTTTCACACTCTGATGTAAATTTTCGATTATAATGTTATTTTACAATTGTTAAACGTCAATGAAGACTAAAAACAAACAATATTCTACTGTAGAAGTTCGAACCATCGGTTTCATACTCAATTTAAATTATTATCGTTTGTTGAATCAAACAATGGACCAATCAGTCAATGGATATATTAATTCTTTTCTATTTTCATAAGAAGTGGTACACATATCGCGTGGGTCAGACAAGAAGCCACTGGCTTCCCAATGCCTTGCACATTTTAATTAAAAAAGGAAAAGTTAATATTGCAAAACTCGGGAATTGAATGCGGCTACAGCTAAACCCCAAACAATAAAACATGCCGAAGTCACCAAAATACACAAATAGAAGGTTAGAAACCTGATACATTTAAGTGACTGGCAAAACAGAGTATCGCTATAGAGCACGTCACGGGAAAGTCACAGTTGTTGAAGGTTGTTTTGGTCTCAGTTTCATGAAACGCAAACAAACTGTTTTAAAGGTCGTCACAACATTTCCGCAATCCTCTTGAGTTAAATCATCGCAACCCTCTAATCCTTATTGTCCACTTACAAAGGATCAACGAACTAATCCATCCTATCAATGGCCTGCCAAACGCAGTTCCGTAGGCGGAGAACACGATCGAGCAAAGGGGGGTACAATAATCCTTTTGATCGATATGAAGAGGATCATCGGAGTTTTAGCCCTTACTCGAGCGTTTAATCCGGGCGACCTGTATCTATAAGGTTGCAGGCCCCTTTCATTTCCCGGAAGGCCACGACTCAGCGAACAGGAGTAAAACTTCTCTTTTGTTTGGTTTCGAAGCTGGGCCATTTTCGA